GTTGTCTGAAACTGAATCTAATTGAGTTTATGTGTACACTCACATGTATTTAGCATCATTCTCACTCCTAAGAATAGGTCACATTTCCATGAGATTGTGTGTACTTGCTTGAAAATGAAGTTGATATTTTGCCATTGTTCTATGTCTATCTGTTACACTATATCCAACTGGTCCAGTTTATTATGAACGACAAGTTACCATGTCACCGGTTAATGATGTCAGTTTGGATGACTTTCTGGTATTAGACTGTGTAATTGTATTGTTCAGTGGAAAAATGACTCGAGCATGTGCTAATTACAAGTTCCATCTTTTAGTCAACTACTGTGCACTCATCATTAAAGCAGCTGTTGTCGATGCCCGTTTCATCAGCGGTACAATAACACGCTCTCTCTATGCTTGATTCCAGTCAACACCCTTCATCTTCATTATCATCTATATCATCATCCAATCGCAAATACGAAACCATCAACAGTTCCACTCCGGAACACCTACCCCATTCGTTGTAGTCATGCGTTCTCCACAGTAATCATGTTTATAATCACCAACATAATCATCAGACAATCTGACTGCAATGAGTCCACACCGAAATTTATTCACAATCGGAACTTCCCAACTCGATCAGTTCCTACTCAATCTGTCTGTTCAAAGATGACATGTCCAAACATAATCTCATCCTAATCTAATAATCATAATGACGATAATACTAATGACAATATGAGCAGTGATAATGGTGGTGATGAGACACCCCTGCATAGTTCATAGTTCCAGAAAGAATTCAGGAAGTTCCAGGTGAAACCTATGCTGAGTGAGAGAAGAACATGTCGAGTTTAATGTAGTTAGTCGACGAAGTGGATCACTGAATTTTAGGATAAAGGTTTCTATCTAGTATCATTCATGTATGTAGGATATCAGTTAATCCCAAATCACTATAGTATGAAGAAACATCTCGTCAAAATTCATGTTATAACTGGTAAGCGGAAGAAGGCTAGTTTTTATTTCACAAAGCAAATCATTTGGATTTTTCTGTATTGAACTTAAATCGAATGTACTGTTGGATATCTGCATCTATGAATCGAATTCTCTTGATGACTAGTTAGTTAAAACATAACTTCAACATAAACGCAAACTGTGAGCAATTCATTTGTCCCATGTAAACCCTCTCATTAGACTGAACAGAAGTAAGCTTCGACGTTTAATATAGACACATCTATTGGACTATTTGACTGGTCTTCCCTGTCTCCAACATTGTCCGGACGTTCCATGTACCTGTAAAGAGTGTTTCTCTGATTTTTAGAAAGTCCATCGGCCTCGTGACTTCCGAAAAATTTCGGCTTTCATCATAAGACGTCAAAATCATTCCTTCAACTCCCAGGTCAGAGTTCAAATTGTTTGAATTACTTTTCCTGGTTAGCGTTCTTCTTTAGCGAATTAGTTTTTCTATGGGATGGAGTCGCTAACCCCATGCCCAACCCTCCTCTTTTACCCGGTCTTGGGAACGGCAGTAACTCTAGAAGAGATGCAGTCGGAATTGCCTAGGACAGAGTTGGATGGAGAATGCTGATGGGCGGCCTATACTCCTCCACGAGGGGTAACAGGCGTAAGTAAGTAAGTAAGTAAGTTAACGTCTATTGGGCCCGAACAGCACAATTTTTATAATTCGTTAACATATAACAATGGTGATTGATCATTTGATAGATATTTGGTTCAGTTAAGAAATTGCTTAAAATGTACCTACACTTATCTAGCACAGAATATTAATAGTGATCATGTAATGGAATGTTTGTTTACTTCCAACACTCTCTCAATCACATACGTATATACAAGTAAGATATACTCATATCAGCTAATTCACAAATCGTACTAACGTGTTGCGACGCCAACTCATTAATAATCAGTAATCTGAAATGGTACTCGTCTACAACTGATGTAGTATTTTCAACTACAAGAAGTACTGTTCTTGAATGATGCCCAGTTTATTAATTACAGTCTCCCACGATCACAGCTACTTCTGGCTAAATTTCGTACAACTGTTATTTTCTATTGATGGTATGATTTAGTCTGTTTGGCTTGTATACAAACCCAATATGTTTGAAATACAGGATTCATATCATGGAGACTGTGATTGGTGTTCTTGACCCTAACAGGCAGGACTGGGCAAGGATAAGGACCGGTAGAGATTCGAGACTGCACGTAAGATTGGATTAAGTATAAAGATGTATGGTGTTGTCTTTTTGTTAGACTTTCCGAAAGGATCCATTACTGGACAGCTAAAAGTGTTCCTGCATGGAACTAATTACTGGTGACAATCCTAAATCTTGTCGGTGACTGGGTGTGAAACAGAAAGCAGTGCTATAAGCAGTGATGGATGGCGGCTAGCATTGGATTACAAAACGCGCGTTTCGTCCCATTCGGGACTTCTTAGCTGGACGTACCTGCATCCTAGAGTTGATGTTCACTCTGGGACTCGAACCCAGTACTGTTCTCTTCAAACGCCATCGTGAACGGAAAGATTCAACCAAACAATAGAAAGCAGCGTTGGTAATGAATGATTTTTGTGCAATATCACAAAGTGAATATAGTCACATATGTAGTGCACTGTATCCTTACTTAACAGTTCGAAAATAACGCGACCATTTGCCTACATTGAGATCATATGATTGTTCTTTGTAGTTCTTTACATAAAACCATTACTATAAAAGAATAGATCGATTCAACTTAGACATTAACACCGTTGAATGTCGGGTCAGTGCTCGGGATGTTTAGCGTTCGCGGAATCGTGAATGTGCACTACCGAAGAGTTGCATACTAGGGCGACATGGCTGTTCAATGCTCCCACGTTTTCAATGGTGGTCTAGCTTAAATGGACTCGTGAATTCAACTTTGAAAAGATAGAGGAGTAAACTACAAAGTTGGTTGACTTGTATTTCAACTAGAAGAGTAGGCGAAACGTTTGTTATGGAACTACACGTGACTCTGCATGTTTGTTATTATCACTAACATTCCAACATCAAATCTTAGTGAATGTGAGTGACGATGAGTTACGCAGTCAGAAGACCATCTTTCAACTTGATCTATAGTGGTTACTCGGTGACTAAAGAACTAAGCAAAATTCATGTTCTGTCCGAACGAACAATAAATGGATGGTAGCTTGTAGGAGTTAATCATAGACCACTATCACATGTATAACATTATTGGATAATTACTAAGTAGTGGGAGTAACTATGACTCTCCCAAGGTAGCCAAATGCCTCGTCATCTAATTGTTTGTGATTTTGGCCTTTTGAGAGTTGTTATTGTGTGAGTAAACGAAGTCCTTAGCGGTCATAATAGCACTACTAAGATTCTGAATGAACGACTTTAGGTCTGTTTGTAAACATCTCAACTCGTGCTTCATGATATAATTAATGCCAGATATGTCGTGGCCTCACAAGGTACGTCCTGTGAACCATTGTCGGCAACTACTACTATATGTGTACTATGGAGTGTATGGGCTTTTTAGACTTGCGTGCTTTAAATGTATGCATGTATAGTATACCTGTGGCGAACGTGATTCTGTGCTCTGTGATGAAAACTTCTGAAACCTATGGAGACCTGCTCGGGTGATCTTGACGTGTTTCCGGGGAGTTGTGTTTGCTATGGCTACTGTCGAGTACGGTCGCCGAGGCTCTAGTACATTATATGATTTCCGGTTGAGCTGTTGTGAGTTGGATGAACTGCCTGGTATAGCAATATGTACAATGTACTCGTCCACATCTGACTTCTACCCATTTTACATCAACCCGTCCGCACTAAGAAAAGTGGAGAGGCTTAGACAATGTTAACATTATCCCATCGACCTGGACATTTGAAGTCATCCTCATAGTAACACGTGCATTATGGTGGTACTTACCATATCTAGAACGATCCACTAGATTAATGTGGGTCTTTGAGTGGCTCAGTCGGTATTGTAAGGATCTATCAATTTAATCTGAACAAGTAAGTGGCTTACATTCATTCACGAAACTTCAGAAGTATAATTTCCTACTCATTAGGATATAACAAGAATGTATTTGTCATTAACTTTCTATCCAATGCTCAATTGATTTAAAACTATGATGTTCAACCTTGTTATTGATACCTATCATATATTCTAGATTTCTCTCCCTAAGCAATAACATACCTTTCAGTGTGGATTTCGTTGATTTCTTAACACGGTGTTATTTTTAATTGACAAATTCAACCAAACCATAGAGTTTTTCATGTCCAACGTTTTACTGTCAGTTTAACTCCTTTACTATTTTATTCGATTCCCAGTTTTTCTTCTTTACAGAATTCGAGTATTATAATGTGTATTACTAACTTCAATAGGATGATGGTTGGAAGTGGTCAACAGGAAACCCTGGACCAGCGTTTCGTGCCACTTGGCACTCATCAGCAAGGTGTACCTGTTATCTTGAAGGAAATGGTTTTCCATGATGAATTCGTTCCCGAGTCACCTAGCTTCACAATCAGAGACGTGACCACAGAGCTATTTGGGTTACGACCGACCTCATGTAGTACTGAGATGCAATCACAATTCGATCAGCACTAAGACGGACTTGACACGCATGACATTGATCACCACCCAGTGTTTAATCAATTGTGACTAACTTCAATATCCAAGAAATATACAAATATTAAAAATGTTTTATTATACAACATTCTGTTAATATATAAATGTGTTAATCTTTAGTAAGATATAGGACTGAATACCTATTCACTATGAAACTAGACTAGTTCACTCAACAATATGTTCACCAATATCATTGTCATTCCGTCTAATCAATCGAATAATTCCATAACTGATAAGAGTGAATATAGTTACCAGTCCCCAACTTATAAGATATACAAGATAACGATAAACAGTAAGAATTTTGTCTAATTTAGGATATGGACTGAATTGAAAAGCAATAATTGAAACTTCCATACTATAAAGAAATGAAAATAAACATTTGACATTCATCAATGAAACGTGATAATTAGATGCAAATCAGTTCAATTAACCATGATGATGATGATGATGATGATGATGATGATGATTTGGATGATGATGATGATGATGATTTGGATGATGATGATGATGATGATGATGATGTGGATAATGATGATGATGATGATTTGGATGATTATGATTATTTGGATGATGATGATGTTGATGATAATTTGGATGATGATTTGAATAATGATGATGATGAATTGGATGATGATGATGATTTGGATAATGATGACTGTAAAGTGAGATCGATAAGCGAACATACCAATGATGAGTGAAACGCGCACCACCACACTAAATTCTTTGACCTTGTATTACTATGTCTTTGTTTTATCCACCAATCACAATTTATGTTCATTCTAAAACAATCTTCGTTTTGTTGACTCATTTTTCCTATTCTCTAGTTACTGTTCGGTATGTCATTTATGTCTCTCCTTTTCCATATGTAATAGACTGTATTTATTTGAGTATTAACGTTGTTAATTTACGTTTTTAGAAACAGATAAAGTTTATTAAGCCAAATAGCTTACTTGTTTTGACTTTGGCGAAACCAAGATTATGTATTCAACAGTTTAGAGAATAGCTTAAAGTTACCCCTGTAGGAAATTGCTTCCTACAAAGTTTCGAACAGTAAACCTCGACACACAAAAATGACTTCTAATAAATACTACGATTCCGATGAGATTCCAGAGTTATCACCACATGATCCGGGATTTTGTGATGAGGACCAACTTGAAAAGGACAAACCCAAAACTAATAGCATGATACAATTAGAGTTAGCTAGATTACGTATAACTCAGTTGGAAAGGGAAATTGAGCTAGAAAAGTTACGCCGCCAGAAAAGTGAGGGTTTCGGTCGATTGTTAAGCAATAGCGAGGATGTAATATTAAAAATCTGTATTTACCAAAAAGGGAAATCTTAAGATTCGACGGTATACCGACAAATTACTGGAATTTTATTAGAAATTTCGAAGAATGTATCGGAAATGAGAAAATTGGATTTAGAGCTAAACTAAATTACTTGATTCAATATTGTGACGGCGAAGCCAAAGCCGCCATTCTTCATTGTGCTATACTAGAACCAGAGATAGGCTATCATCAAGCTCTAAAACTTTTAGAAGAAACCTTTGGTCAGAAACACGTGATAGCACGCACGTTCATCGACAACTTGTTAAATTTTCCCACTATAAGAAGAAACCAAACAGATGGTTTAAGAAAATTGTCCAGGGAAATGCAAGCATGCTGTTTGACTATCGAACAAATGAATTACGTTTCTGACCTGAACTCTACCAGAACTATTGAAACTATGGTTTTGAAATTGCCGACGCATGTTCAACAAAAGTGGCTAAAGACGGCTTATAAGTTTATCAGAGGAGGTCGTGAGCCTCTGTTCGCCGACCTTACAGCCTTTGTAAAGGAACAAGCCGATATGGCTAATACTCGATATGGGTTACTCGTCAACCGTGGTAGTAATAGTGACAATAGGGATATCGGGGTTCTAAAGGGGAGATGTAATGCAGATTACAATGCAGCAAGGATATCTTATATGAGTAGCAATGATGACAATGTCCACTTACGTAGTTCGTCCTGTTTAGAGTGCTCAGGTGATCATTCCTTAGATCAATGTCAGAAGTTTAAAGACAAAAGTGTTATAGAAAGGAAAGAATTCGTTCTTAGACACAAGTTATGTAATGTTTGTCTGAAGGCTAACCATATAGCGAAAAACTGTCGATCACCGAGGTCATGCGATGTTAAAGTATGCGGTTGGAGACACCATACCCTGTTACACAGGAAGCAGATAGAACAGAGAGACGGCAGTAGTGATGCTTGCATTAATACCCAGTTCTGCACGGACGTATATGTTAAGCATACACAGAGTCCAGTAGCATTTGCAGTGGTGCCTGTATGGATAAAGAACGGTGAGAAGATCATTCAGACTTGCGCCTTTCTAGATAGCGGATCCGATACTTCCCTCATTGTTGATAATTTGGCTGACGAGTTAGGTCTCGAGGGAAAACCAAAAATGGTGTCTTTAAAGACTCTTAGCAATGAATCGTCGTTAATATCCAAAGAGGTCGATGTAGAATTGCACTCCATAGATTTTTCGTCGTCCGTTAAAGTGCAAAAGGTGTTGACAGTCAAAAAACTACCAGCGGTTCACAGGACTGTGCCAACGGCGCGTCAAATGGCATCTTGGTCTCATTTAGAGGACATAAGGTTCCCGAGAGTAGAAGACGAAAATGTCAAACTGTTGATCGGGTGTAACGCACCGAGCGTGCACGAGATAAAAGAGGTAAGAACTGGGAAGACGAACGAACCGTCTGCTGTGAGAACTCTATTGGGTTGCACGTTGTTTGGTCCCTATGGGGAACTCCATGGAAGCAAACGTGTACTTAATTACCTCTTAGATAAAGAGGAATTAGGGGATAAGTTTGAACAATTGTACTCAACGGAATTCTAGGATTCATTTAGTTGTACTATGTCGATGTCTGTAGAAGATCGTATAGCACTCAGTGCTATATCAAATTCAGTGCAAAGGTTAAATGGGCACTATCAAATAGCTCTAGCTTGGAGGCACGAACGCAAGTCACCTAATAATAAGAAATTAGCAGAACGTAGACTTAGCTGTTTAAAAGGTCGACTTATTCGGGATACGAAGTTGCTCCAAGACTATACGAGCGCTATGACTCAGTATATAGAACGAGATTATGCCGAAAAGGTAAACGATAACCACATTGATGGACGAATTTGGTATCTTCCTCACCACCCTGTCTTTCATCCCAAAAAGCCTAACAAGTTAAGAATAGTTTTTGATTGTGCAGCTCAGTATGCTGGAACGTCTTTAAACAAGAATCTTTATTCTGGACCTGATTTAGTCAATAAACTAGTAGACGTATTTACCAGGTTTCGGCAACGACCGATAGGTCTTACGGCGAACATTGAAGCCATGTTCCATCAAGTAGTAGTTCCGGCACATGATCGAGATGCTCTTAGGTATTTGTGGTGGCCAGGTGGGAACTTAAAAAAGGAGCCAGAGGTCTATAGAATGAAAGTCCATTTGTTCGGAGCAACCTCATCACCATGTTGTGCCACGTTTGCCTTGCAGAAAACAATTTCTGATAATCTAGATAAATTTCCCAGAGTTGTTACACAATTAGCTAAGGAACAGTTCTATGTGGACGATTTATTGATAAGTGTAGATACTACAGAAGAAGCCAAACTGATATATTCACACTTCAAAGGACTTCTGAGTTTGGGAGGATTTAACTTAACTAAATGGACTAGTAATAATATTGAAGTGTTGGAGTTTATTCCAGAGGAAGACCGTATTGAAGGAAACATTACCGTTTGTGAGTCTAATGAGACGAGTAAGCGAACCCTGGGAATCGAGTGGAACGTCAGGACCGACGAATTATGTTTTAAAGTTCATGAGTTCCGTGGAAACCTAACCAGAAGAAACATCTTGTCGTATGTAGCATCTATCTTTCATCCAGTTGGGTTTATAGCCCCAATAATACTGCCAGCCAAAGTGATCCTACAAGATACTTGTCGGCAGAAGTTAGATTGGGACGCAGAGTTACCCATGGATTGTCAAGTGAAGTGGAATATTTGGTGTAAACACATAAAAGAATCGGACTATTTAAGAATACCAAGATGTCTGAAACCAATGTTTGAACCATCATCTGCTCAAATTCATTGTTTTGCCGATGCTTCTGAGCTTGCGTGTGGTGTTGTTGCGTATATTCGTTATGAAAGTGTTTCTAGTCAGATTCATTGCTCATTTCTGCTAGCTAAGTCTAGAGTTGCTCCCCTAAAACTTGTTACTATGCCTAGAATGGAGTTAACAGCCTGTGTTCTGTGTGCTAAGATTGGCAAGCATGAAAGGGAACAGTTAAATATTCCTATTTCATCGGTCATCTATTGGAGGGGTTCGTTAATTGTGCTTCATTGCATACAAAATACGACTAAACGATTTGAAAGGTTTGTGAGTAATAGATTAGCAACTATACACAAGTTGACCACGCCAAACCAATGGAGATACGTGAAAGGTAAATTAAATCCCGCTGATCACGCGTCACGTGGACTATTACTAAATGATAAAGCTAAGATAAGGGAGTGGTTACAAGGGCCAGGATTGCTGTGGGAGGAAGAAGATAGATGGCCTAACTTAGAAAAGGGGCGAGAACACTTTGGCCCATGTAATAACAGAAGATCTCGGATCTCAAAAATACAATGACGAGTCTCTAGACCGATTTCGCACGTGTAAGTCATGGTCCAGAATATTAAGGGTGTTTTCATACTGCAGACGGTTAATCAACAATATGCTAAACAAGAAGAATGGGAAATATCTAATCTCGGGCACACTAAGTGTTGAAGATATTGGTAAATCGAAGAGCGACATAATTAAACTAGTCCAAAGTGCCGCATTCCCGGTCGAAAAAAGAATTCTAGACAGTTTACCATTAACACTCGAAGACAATGCTTCTAAGCAGCAAGAAAGAATAAACGAGACGATCAAAAGAAAAAAGTTAATTCGTCAAAGCTCGATAAGGAATCTCAACCCTTTTATGTTGGAAGGCAAGATCCGTGTGGGAGGACGTCTGCAATTATCGTGTTTACCCTTTGAAACCAAACATCCGATTATTCTTCCTAATAATCACTTTATCACAGATATGATTATAATGCATCATCATTTGATAACATGCACGTCGGAGTTACTCAAACTTTAAGTGGTATTCGTGAAGAGTATTGGATCGTTAGAGGATACTCTGCCGTCCGAAAGGTCCTAAAACAATGTTATTTATGTAAAAGACTTTACTCTATGCCATGCTCCCAAATAATGGCGCCGTTGCCAGAGTGCAGGCTAGAGACTCATTCGCCTCCCTTTAGCCAAGTAGGTGTGGATTACTTCGAGCCATTCTATACCAAACGGGGGAGAGCCGTTGAGAAACGCTACGGTTGTGTATTCACTTGCTTATCCATTAGAGCCGTTCATATTGAAATGGCTTGCTCTTTAGATACGGATTCATTCTTATGCGCATTATCAAGGTTCATTGCTAGAAGAGGATGCCCGAAGCGTATTTTTAGTGATAATGGTTCTAATTTCCGAGGTGCAGATGCTAGTTTGAGGCAGATTATACGCTCTTGGGACCAAAACAAAATAGAGAATCACCTCAGAGAACGAGAATGTGAATTGCGTTTCAACCCACCTAGGGCAAGTCACCGAGGCGGTGTGTGGGAACGTATCATAAAATCTATTAGAAGATTCTAAGAGCTCTTTTATTTTATAACGTGTTGACAGATGAGGCTTTGCAAACATTCTTAACTGAGGCAGAAAAAATATTAAATAATAGACCACTAGTTAAAGTGACGGATGATCCTGGCACTCTAGAGGCTCTTACACCGAATAAATTGTTGTTGATTTATAAAGGATTGTCATTTGACGATGTTTCTGTGGATAAGACTCCATTATACAATAAAAGATGGAAAGAAGCTCAAAGATTAACTACCGCATTTTGGTATAGGTGGATAAGAGAATATCTACTGACTCTTCAAACAAGAGATAAATGGTTAAACGTACATAGAAATCTACAACCCGGCGACCTAATTCTCGTGGTTAACGTTGAAACGAGCAGAAGTCTATGACCTAAAGCCATTGTCGAACACGTTAGCTACGGCCCTAATGGACGAGTTCGTACAGCAAGGTTGAGAACGACAAACGAAGAAATCGTTCGGGATGTTCGGAGCTTATGCCTATTGGAAGAAGCCGGTTATCTGACAGCAACGGCGACGACACAGAGCTATCGAACTGGTGCGCGTTTCGGGCGGAGTGTAAAGTGAGATCGATAAGCGAACATACCAATGATGAGTGAAACGCGCACCACCACACTAAATTCTTTGACCTTGTATTACTATGTCTTTGTTTTATCCACCAATCACAATTTATGTTCATTCTAAAACAATCTTCGTTTTGTTGACTCATTTTTCCTATTCTCTAGTTACTGTTCGGTATGTCATTTATGTCTCTCCTTTTCCATATGTAATAGACTGTATTTATTTGAGTATTAACGTTGTTAATTTACGTTTTTAGAAACAGATAAAGTTTATTAAGCCAAATAGCTTACTTGTTTTGACTTTGGCGAAACCAAGATTATGTATTCAACAGTTTAGAGAATAGCTTAAAGTTACCCCTGTAGGAAATTGTTTCCTACAATGACGATTTGGATAATGATGATGATCATGATGACGATTAAGATATAGATGATGATGATTCGGATGACGATGATGATTTGGATGATTTTGATTATTTGCATGATGATGATAATTTGTATCATGATGATGTTGATTATTATTTTGAAGATGACGATGATTTGGACGATGATGATGTTGATTATAATTTTGAAGATGATGATGATGAATTGATTGATGATGATGATTTGGATGATTATGATTATTTAGATAATGATGAGCATTTGTATGATGATGATGTTGATGATAAATTTGATGATGATGATTTGGACGTTGATGATGTTGATTATAATTTTGAAGATGATGATGATGATTTGAATGATGATGATGATGAAGATGATGATGATGTGGACGATGATGATGATGATGATTATTTGGATGATGATGATGTTAATGATAATTTAGATGATGATGATAATTAGGATGATTATGATAATGAAGATGATGATAATTTAGATGATGATGAAATGAATGATGATGATTTGAATTATTATGATTATTTCGATGATGATGATGATGATGATATGGATAATGATGATGATGTTGATGATTTATATGAAAATGACGTTTTGGTTGATGATTTGGATGATGAAGATGTTGAAGATTAAGATGAAGATGATGATAATGATGTGGATGATGATGATGATGATTCGGATGATTATGATTATATGGATGATGATGTTTATCAAGATGATTATGATGATGGAGATGATGACAAAGATGAGAATGATGTGGATGAAGTTGATGATAATTTAAATAATGAAGATGATGATGAAAATGATGATGAAGATGATGATGATGTGGATGATGAGGGTGATGATTTGGATGATGATGACGATTTGAATGATGATGATGATAATTAGGATGATGATGATAATGATGATGATGATGATGATTTGGATGATGATTTGGATGATGATGATGATGATGATGATGATGATGATGATGATGATTTGAACGATGATGATGATGATGATTTGGATGATGATGATGGTTTGGATGATTATGATTATTTGTATGATGATGATGATGATGGTTTTGATGATGATGATGATGATGGTTTGGATGATGAAAATTTGGATGATTATGATTATTTGTATGATGATGATGATGTTGATGATTTAGACGTAGAATATGATGCGGATGATGATGATGAAGATGATAATGATGTTGATGATGAGGGTGATGATTTGGATGGTTATGATTATTTGGATGATGATGATTACGATGATGATGATAATGATGATGATGATGAAGATGATGATGATGTGGATGATGATGATGAGGATGAGGATGATGATGATGATGAATATGATGAAGATGATGATGTGGATGTAGTTGAATATAATTTGGATGATGATGATTATTATTTTAATGACCATGATGATGATGTGGATTATGTTGATGAAGATGATGGTGATGTGGATGATGAGGGTGATGATTTATATGATTATGATTATTTGTATGATGATGATGATGTTGATGATTTAGAAGAAGATTATGATTTCGATGATGATGATGATGATGAAGATGATGATGGTGATGATGGAGATGATGACGAAGATGGGGATGATGTGGATGATGTAGATGATAATTTGAATGATGACGATGATGATGCAGATAATGATGTTGTGGATGATGGGGTGATGATTTGGATGGTTGTGATTATTTTGATGATGGTGATGATTTGGATTATAATGATGTTGATGATCATTTGGATGACGATGATGAAGTTGATGATGATGATGATTTAGATGAAGATGATGATGACGATGAGGTTGATAATGATGATGATGATGATGATGATGGTGTTGATGATGCGGATGATGATCATGATGATGGTGATGATGATGATGATAATTAGACCGATGATGATTATAATGGTGATGATGATAATTTGGATGATGATGATGTTGATGTTGATTTGGATGATGATGATGATGATGTGAATGTTGATGATTTAGATGAAAATGACGATAATGTGGATGATGATGATGTTGATGATAATTTGGATGATGATTATGATTATTTGGATAATGATGATGATGATTTGGATGATGATTATGATGAAGTGAATGATGATGATTTGCAAGATTATGATTATTTGGATGATGATGATGATGATGAAAAAATTGATGATGTTGATGATTATTTGGATGAAGATGATGATTTGTATGGCGATGAATCGGATGATTATGTATTTTTGGATGATGATGATGATGATAAACATAATGATGATGATGGAGATGATGACGAAGATTAGGATGATGTTGATGATAATTTAAATGATGACGATGATGATGAATATGATGGTGATGAGGTGGTGAGGGTTATGATTCGGATGATTATGATTTTGTATGGATGATGATGATTATGATGATGTGGAAGATGATGATGATGTTGATGATGATGATGATTTGGATGATGATGATGAATATAATGAAGAAGATGATGATGATGATGACGATGTTGATTTGAATGATGATGATGTTGATGTCAATTTGGATGATGACGATGATTTCGATGATGATTATTACAAAGATGATCATGAAGATGACGATGATGTGAATGATGATAATTTGGAATATGGGTGATGATTTGGATGATGATGATGATGTTGATGATGATTTGGATGACGATGATAAAAATGAAGATGACGATCATTTAGATGAAGTTGATGATGATGATAATGATGATGATGCTGATGTTGATAATGGTTTAGATAATAATGATGAAGTTGATGATAATCATCATGATGATGATAATTTTGATGATGATGTTGATGTTGATTTGGATGATGATGATGATGTGGATGATGATGATGATTTAGATGAAGATGATGATGATGATGATGATGATGCGGATGATGATGATGATGATGATGAATATGATGAAGATGATGGTGATGACGGTGTTGATTTGGATGATGATGATTTGGATGACGATGATGTTGATGATAATGTGGATGATGATGATGATGATTTGGATGATGATGATGTTGATTATAATTTTGAAGATAACAATGATGATTATGATTATGATTTGTATGATGATGATGTTGATGATAATTTGTATGTTGTTGATGTCAATTTGGATGATGATGATGATTTCGATGATGATGATGATTTGGATGATGATGATGACGATGATTATGATGATGTGGATGATGATGATGATTTGGATGATTATGATTATTTGTATGATGATGATGTTGATGATAATTGTTATGATGATGAATATTTGGATGATAATGATGATTTCGATGATGATGATGATTTGGATCATGCTGATGATGATGATGATAATGTGGATGATGATGATGATGATGATGTTGATTTGGATGATGATGATTATGAAGAAGATGATGTTGATGTTGATGATGATATTGATTTAGATGATGATGATGATTTCGATGATGATGATGATGTGGATGATGATGAAGATTTGGATGATAATGATTATTTGGATGATGATGATGCTGATGATTCGGATAATGATGATGTTGATGATGATTTGGATCATGCTGATGATGATGATGATAACGTAGATGATCATGATGATTTGAATGATTATGATGATTTGGATGATTATGATTTGTATGATGATGATGGTGATGATAATTCTTATGATGATGAATATTTGGAAGATTATGATGATTTCGATGATGATGACGATTTGGATGATGATGATGATGATAATGTGGATGATGATGATGATGATGATTTGGATGATGATGATGATGTTGATTTGGATGATGATGATTATGAAGAAGATGATGTTGATGTTGATGATGATATCGATTTAGATGATGATGATGATTTCGATGATGATGATGATGTGGATGATGATGAAGATTTGGATGATAATGATTATTTGGATGATGATGATGCTGATGATTCGGATAATGATGATGTTGATGATGATTTGGATCAAGCTCATGATGATGATGATAACGTAGATGATCATGATGATTTGAATGATTATGATAATTTGGATGATTATGATTTGTATGATGATGATAATGATTCGTATGATGATGATGATGATGATTTGGATGATTATGATGATGATTTGGATGATGATGATGATTTGAATGCTGATTATGATTTGTATGATGATGATGATGATGATGATTGGGATGATTATGATGATTTTTATGATTATGATTTGTATGATGATGATGTTGATGATAATTTGTATGTTGTTGATGTCAATTTGGATGATGATGATGATTTCGATGATGATTATGATGAAGATGATGATGATGATTTGGATGATGATGATGACGATGATTATGATGATGTGGATGATGATGATGATTTGGATGATTATGATTATTTGGATGATGATGATGATGATGATGATTCGGATAATGATGATGATGATTTGGATCATGCTGATGATGATGATGATGTCGTAGATGATCATGATGATTTGAATGATTATGATGATTTGGATGATTAAGATTTGTATGATGATGATGTTGATGATAATTCTTATGATGATGAATATTTGGATGATAATGATGATTTCGATGATGATGATGATTTGGATGATGATGATGATGATAATGTGGATGATGATGATGATGATGATTTGGATGATGATGATGATGTTGATTTGGATGATGATGATTATGAAGAAGATGATGTTGATGTCGATGATGATATCGATTTAGATGATGATGATGATTTCGATGATGATGATGATGTGGATGAAGATGAAGATTTGGATGATAATGATTATTTGGATGATGATGAGGCTGATGATTCGGATAATGATGATGTTGATGATGATTTGGATCATGCTGATGATGATGATGATAACGTAGATGATCATGATGATTTGAATGATTATGATGATTTGGATGATTAAGATTTGTATGATGATGATGTTGATGATAATTCTTATGATGATGAATATTTGGATGATAATGATGATTTCGATGATGATGATGATTTGGATGATGATGATGATGATAATGTGGATGATGATGATGATGATGATTTGGATGATGATGATGATGTTGATTTGGATGATGATGATTATGAAGAAGATGATGTTGATGTTGATGATGATATCGATTTAGATGATGATGATGATTTCGATGATGATGATGATGTGGATGAAGATGAAGATTTGGATGATAATGATTATTTGGATGATGATGAGGCTGATGATTCGGATAATGATGATGTTGATGATGATTTGGATCATGCTGATGATGATGATGATAACGTAGATGATCATGATGATTTGAATGATTATGATGATTTGGATGATTATGATTTGTATGATGATGATGTTGATGATAATTTTGATTATGATGAATATTTGGATGATAATGATGATTTCGATGATGATGATGATTTGGATGATGATGATGATGATAATGTGGATGATGATGATGATGATGATTTGGATGATGATGATGATGTTGATTTGGATGATGATGATTATGAAGAAGATGATGTTGATGTTGATGATGATATCGATTTAGATGATGATGATGATTTCGATGATGATGATGATGAAGATGATGATGATGATTTGGATGAAGATGATGATGATGATTTGGATGATGATGATTTGAATGATTATGATGATTTGGATGATTATGATTTGCATGATGATGATGTTGATGATAATTTTTATGATGATGAATATTTGGATGATAATGATGATTTCGATGATGATGATGATTTGGATGATGATGATGATGATAATGTGGATGATGATGATGATGATGTTGATTTGGATGATGATGATTATGACGAAGATGATGTTGATGTTGATGATGATATTGATTTAGATGATGATGATGATTTCGATGATGATGATGATGTGGATGATGATGAAGATTTGGATGATAATGATTATTTGGATGATGATGATGCTGATGATTCGGATAATGATGATGTTGATGATGATTTGGATCATGCTGATGATGATGATGATAACGTAGATGATCATGATGATTTGAATGATTATGATGATTTGGATGATTATGATTTGTATGATGATGATGTTGATGATAATTTTGATTATGATGAATATTTGGAGGATAATGATGATTTCGATGATGATGATGATTTGGATGATGATGATGATGATAATGTGGATGATGATGATGATGATGATTTGGATGATGATGATGATGTTGATTTGGATGATGATGATTATGAAGAAGATGATGTTGATGTTGATGATGATATCGATTTAGATGATGATGATGATTTCGATGATGATGATGATGTGGACGATGATGAAGATTTGGATGATAATGATTATTTGGATGATGATGATGCTGATGATTCGGATAATGTTGATGTTGATGATGATTTGGATCAAGCTCATGATGATGATGATAACGTAGATGATCATGATGATTTGAATGATTATGATAATTTGGATGATTATGATTTGTATGATGATGATAATGATTCGTATGATGATGATGATGATGATTTGGATGATTATGATGATGATTTGGATGATGATGATGATTTGAATGCTGATTATGATTTGTATGATGATGATGATGATGATTGGGATGATTATGATGATTTTTATGATTATGATTTGTATGATGATGATGTTGATGATAATTTGTATGTTGTTGATGTCAATTTGGATGATGATGATGATTTCGATGATGATAATGATGATTTGGATCATGCTGATGATGATGATGATGTCGTAGATGATCATGATGATTTGAATGATTATGATGATTTGGATGATTATGATGATTTTTATGATTATGATTTGGATGATGATGATGACGATGATTATGATGATGTGGATGATGATTTGGATGATTATGATTATTTGGATGATGATGATGATGATGATTCGGATAATGATGATGATGATTTGGATCATGCTGATGATGATGATGATGATGATGTCGTAGATGATCATGATGATTTGAATGATTATGATGATTTGGATGATTATGATGATTTTTATGATTATGATTTGTATGATGATGATGTTGATGATAATTTGTATGTTGTTGATGTCATTTTGGATGATGATGATGATGATGATGATGATGATGATGATGATGATGATGATTTGGATGATGATGATGATGACGATGATGATAATTTGGATGATGATGATGATTTGGATGATGATAATGATGATTTGAATGATGATTTTGATTTGTATGATGATGATGATGATTTGGATGATTATCATGATAATGATGATTTGTATGATGATGATGATGATTTGGATAATTAATGTGATTTGTATGATTATGATTTTTAGGATGATGATGTTGATGATAATTTGTATGTTGTTGATGTCAATTTGGATGATGATGGTGATTTCGATGATGATTATGATGAAGATGATGATGATGATTTGGATGATGATGATGACGATGATGATAATTTGGATGATGATGATGATTTGGATGATGATGTTGACGATGATGATAATTTGGATGATGATGATAATGATTTGGATGATGAGGATCAAATGATTTGGATAATGTTGATGATGATTTGTATGATTAAGATGATGATTATGATGATGATGTGGATGATGATGATGATTTGGATACTGATGATGTTGATGATGATTTGGATGATTATGATTATTTGGATGATGATGATTTGGATGATGATGATGATGATGATAATGTTGATTTGGATGATGATGATTATGAAGAAGATGATGATGATGTTGATGATGATATTGATTTAGATGATGATGATGATTTCGATGATGATGATGATGATGATGTGGATGATGATGATGATTTGGATGATTATGATTATTTGGATGATGATGATGATTCGGATAATGATGATGTTGATGATGATTTGGATCATGCTGATGATGATGATGATGTCGTAGATGATCATGATGATTATGATTTGTATGATGATGATGTTGATGATAATTTTTATTATGATGAATATTTGGAGGATAATGATGATTTCGATGATGATGATTTGGATGATGATGATGATGATAATGTGGATGATGATGATGATTTGGATGATGATGATGATTTGGTTGATGATAATGATTTAATGATGATTTGAATGATTGTGATTTGGATGATGATGACGAATATGATTTCAATGATGTTGATATAATTTTGGATGACGATGATGATTTCGATGGTGATGATGATGAAGATGATGATGATGATAATGATGATGATGGGGATGATGATTATGATTTCGGTGATTATGATTGTTTGGATGATGATGATGATTTGGCTTATGATGATGTTGATGATGATTTGGATCATGCTGATGATGATGATGATGTAGATGATCATGATGATTTGGTTGATTATGATGATTTGTATGATTATGATTTGTATGATGATGATAATGATGATAATTTTTATGATGATGATGATTTGGATGATGATGATGGAGCAGCATACTTTTCCATAGTAATTAACATTGGTAATTATACTATTTTGTTTGATTTCATCACATTAGTTTATTTTCATAGGTAATATCTACTGCATACTTTCTATAGACAATTTGTCATAAACATTATTTACAGATGTGGTTCGGTGGAGATTTCAGTCTGTTGGGAGATATCAACTCACTGAAGACAATTGTTAATGGTTGCTCAATTTCGTGTATCGTTTGAAGTTAGACATTAACATGTTTGGATACCGGCTCAGTGATCTATCGGTTAAGTGCTGTGGAGCGAGAGTGGTAGGTCCTGCGTTCTAATCTCGAGAGGCGGGATCGTGGATGCACACTGCTGAGGAGTCCCACAATAGGACAAGACGGTCGTCCAGTGCTTCCAGGTTTTCCATGGTAGTGTAGCTTCAATTGTCTCATGATCTCAACTCTATAAACATTATTTTCTGTTTTCTACTTTACACTTACACCTTACCTATTGGTTCATTTCACTAATTGACATGCATAGAACCATATTAGTCTAATAAAGAAACTTTATTATTTACAAATTCTTTCAATTATATCAGTTTGTTATTGACTATAGTATGGTGTCAGTTACTATGTTAAGCTCACCTAACTTCTTTTGGCTTCCAGACAAGCCAATTTATTCATTCTTCGCTAAAACACAATTTGACATTGTCAATTATTCTCTTATCAACCTTGACCGTTTCTTATATCACCATATATATATGTGTCTTTGCACTTCTTATCCTAACCATCACATATCTGACTGTAAATATCGATTCACATATGATTAAATCGAGATGGTTCACATACCTTCTTCACTAAGTGCCATCTCACTTCATTCTCTTCACGTGGCTTTCTACGCTTCATTTCTTCAATCGTTTTCTGTATCAACGATTGTATGAAATACACGTATACGAACTTCATTCTCGTATTTGACTTATTTCATTCCTTTATTCACTGATATGAGTTCAGTCGATAATTATATGCGACGATTGGTGACATGTATATTCCGATAACAATCATACATACGATCTAAGTAGATACAGATATCGGGCCACTAATGTGATGAGATCGTCGATAACATCGTCCGATCTGATGGGCGTCAAAATGAAGGACCTCACCAACGTATCAATAAAATATCGACTTAATTAACAAACCAAGACTGTTGGATGTTTCTACTCTGACAATAGGGTAGTCACACTCTTATCGATTGCCAGAAGTAATAGACCTAACTGACTACTTCGTGTAGAAATAAGCTTCCATGTTCAATCTGTTCCTTTATGATTGCCTGATGTGAGTGTACATCAGTGTCTGTGTGTGTGGAAACAACACCACAAATTGAATCTACCTGAGCTGCATATCTACTCAATCACATTACTACTTCATGAAACCTGAGAGTATAATATCGTGCGAAACGTGCTTGGTTTCATTCATTCTCATTAGTCCATATGCAAGATGAAATGGTGGTGACGAGTAGATCAACCGAATTGAAGTTTAGGCACGGAACATTGAAGTGTAGACGTCAAAAATAATCCATGTCGAAAAGGAATAATGAAATAATTTTATTCCTATATTGACTTACTAGATATTGTAGACTGCCATCAGTATGTAACATACAACAAATGATTTCCACAATGAAACAGATTTCGGTCGACATATAAATGCTTCGAGTAAAGTCACAACTGCTGGAATGATATGCTGTTGTTTAGAAGATTAAATAATAATGTATATATTAATGATTGGATTGAATATACTACTTAGAACAATAAGGGCATTGATACTAAGTATAGTTTAGACCGAGATTTCAATAAGACTGTCAATTTCGATTAGATGAATGATGGACTATTAGTGATTAAGTTAGCTCTTGTTTTAGTACTCATGAATCGAGTATTTGTTCATAAATATTCTCAATTGTTCCAACTGCAAAAAAACACTACATCGGACGAAAGCGGACAACCTATTCATCTTCGTCTTCATGAACATCAATCAGCGATCAAACTCCATGACATATCTTTGATTATATCAATGCTTGTGAACAACTATGGATACACATTCAACTGAAAAAATGTTGAGATTTTGTATAGAGGCAATTCTAAAAACAACCAGAGAATTTTTAGAAACTTGGCACTAAAGTCAATCAACAATCGGTTAAGTGCTATGGCGCGAAACTGGTAGGTCCTGGTCCTGGTCCGGCCGTCAAGCAGTGCTACCAGGTTTTCCATGATGGTCTAGCTTCAATTGACTCATCATTTCAACTATGACAATCAACAAATAACAAACACATTGAAATATATCCATTTTATCGACCGATAACAATCAAATCAATAGGAGATACAATCAAAATAAAGATGAAGGCAATGATAGGTTAAAGGTCAACAAAAACCAATGACGATCAAGGTCTACAGGACAAGCTGTGAATCACTTACGGAGAAATGCGAACATTTCACTTCTACCTGCGGTTTATACTGATGCTGTCGTTCAGAATAACAATGTTAGCTCCACAATCAAAACATACAACTCAGAGAACAAAACTCCACCAACATCAATTATTTAATCGACAATTCGTTTAACTTTGTGGCTTATGTTACACGAGTGCGAATGTCTGTTAACATTGTAACAATGAATATTTGATAAACCATTCCTGTCCCATAAATCTTTAAACATCTCAAGTGATCAACAGTGGATATTACATTGACATTATCTGATGTCGATTTGATACTTTAATTCGAAACTGAAGCTTCATTCGTCCAACCTCCATTAGTTGAATGGATTTGTGGTTTAAGAAATGTTCAATGTTTCAAACATTTCATTGAATGGTTTTATAGAGTGACTGCTTATCAATAAGAATATATGTACCATTAAGCAAAGATGGATAGTGGCTAGCAGTGGAATCCAGTTTGACGCGCGTTTCATTCTATTTGGGACTCATCAGTTGGATGTACCTACATCTCAGACTCGTTTGATGTTCACTCTGAGACTGACCAATTGTAGTCGTAAAACATCAATGGGAAGACTCAACTAAACAATACTAAGTGAATACGTAGCAATATGTATGTATACTTGCACTTATATTACAAATATATCAATAATAACACATTCATTTCAAGCTTACACATGTATGATTGAACCATAATGGCATATTCTTCAATTCTGGATTCTCGGTAGCCACAGTATGATCAACAATGAGTACAATGAAATACATCACAAGTATCGTCTATTGTTTTCAAATGAATAAAAAACATATGAACAACAAGGAATTGAATCACTTACCGAAGCATAAGTAGATGAAAGTACATAGAAATAACTATGTATTGTATATTGTTTACACATTAGGAGTAATGTGGAATTGACGAAATAGACTTGTATCATGGTCTATATTGTGAATAAGATGGAGGTGAGTAGGGGGGAGGGTAGGGTAGGGAAGAAAAGTAACAAATATTATGTAAGATAAACTTACCATTGTAATAAATGTGAGATATTTGAATAGTACCAACAAATTCATAATGTTGAATGATTCATCTGGATAAAGGTATTTATAGCCAACAACTGTGATGGTTATGAATATTCCCATCACAATAATATGATAGATGGCACCAATGATTCGTCTTAGATCAGTTTTCTGTAGCATTTTTGATAGAGGATAGTAAGATGTTAATTGATTCACTTCAAATGTTTACTCTGCTATAATTCAGTATATATATATACCTAAATGCTAAGAAACTATAATTCATATTTTGAATGAACTATAATAATTAAGTCAGAGGTACATATTTTACTCATATCATAGTTGACCCTTAATTAAAGGGTACACAATGATATACTCACATTTTTTCAGCGGTTTCTATTCTAAGTAGTTTATTTATATGCTTAATGCTATTACTAGCTTACCTTACTTGGTAAACCGGCCTATGCTCCATTGGTAGTAACAGGCGTAAGTAAATAATTAAGTAAGTTACTTGATAAACAGAACGAAAGTCAAAGACATAATGACAGGATAAACTATTCGAATCCGTTGTCTCCGACCCTACTAAAGAGATCAAGAAGTCTTGATGAAGCATGGGGGTATGTATTCTACAAGCACTCAGAAAATACGAAGTCATTAAGCATACAAATCAAACTTATTTATACAATGATAGAAACGTCCTTGGGAAAGCCACAAAATAGTATTTTTATATTTAGAACCTTGATTTCTTACTACGCCTCGTACTACAGACTACTTGAACGATAGAACGTGCAACGTCGCAATAGAGAAAACAGAGGACTAGTAAGTAGGAACTTTTATTCCCTAAAACAGTGTCAAAATATAGTACAGAAATCTCGTGTATTTATAGTTTTTGACTGAAAGTATATCATCATTTCAGACAACCAATAGGCAAATAGGGGTTATCCTCATCCATCCAATGGGGAAGCTACACGTCGACATTCTAGAATATTCCCCTAGCAGTGATTGGATGGAATGTGTGCGGCTCTTCTGGGCTTCTTAAGGCTTCCTAGAGTCTACCGACGAGCCGTCCTTACAAATATACTAAAAATATACATCAACCAATGACAGTCAAAGAATTTCAAGTAGGAAATGTAAACTGTAGTTCGACGAAGCATCTCATGTCACGAAAACGTAAAATTCAAATTTTCAGAATGAAATTACAAAA